AATATATTTGTACGTAGATAATTCGATGAACACAATGATAATGATATGTTTTTTCTAATGAAATACGAACTCAACAAATGTTCACGATTGACTTCCACGGTGAAGGAATAGCATCGTATAATAAAAATGAAAACCGCAAAATTATAATTTGCGTAATTACTGGTGGTAGAACCTTTTGTGAGTCTGCGCGGGTAGGTACCACCGCCCTGCTTGTTTCTGCCGTGAAGCAGTAATGCGTTTCGGTTTGAAGGGTGAGGCAGCCGTTGTAACTATATTTGAAACCTTAGAACTTATACCTCAAGGTGGGTGGCGCATTTACGTCGTAGATGTCGATGGGCTCCAGTAACCACTTAACACCAGGTGGGCTGTGAGCTCATCCACACATCTAGCAATAAAAAAAATGTTTTTGTGCGTTCTGAAATATAAATTGATGATGGGAGGTAGTAGGAAAATTTCATTTATAGGCAGGGCTGACGCAGTATAGTCCAGGAGAAATTTATTATGGGAGGCCACGACCCTTAGCATTGAGGATTATCAACGCAAGGAGGAGAAGCAAAATTTAGTATAGCTGACGGTATGTTATTACATTTATTTACAGAGGAGGCGCCGATCGGGTTTAAGCTGTTTGCTCATATGCCAGCATAAGTCAATGAAGAGGAAGTCATATTAATATACAAAGGCAAATTCCATGAATAACTTATTCAACTCAATATATGTATAAGCATTCTTAAGATATTACGTATGATTTCTTATTGGTCGTGTAGTGCGCCTTATTGGGCCTAATTACTTGAGCATTAAGGGCGATTTTAATAAATAATAGACTGGTGATATTGTGGCAAGCTTATAATCCACTAGTAAAAAAATCATTCGCCGACAAGATTACGTATCTCATCATCTGACGTACATCCAACATTACGAATAAAAATATGTTCAATTTCGTTGTTATGACATCCGTTATTGCTTTCTATGTCTACTCATACGAACGTTAAATAAAATCATTTGTATATTTTCCTTCTTACCTCTAATACAATTAAAACATCAGTCATATTGTTCGGGGTAGCTTTGATAATTCCATCAGAGCTGTATATGACTGGTGGTAGGACCTCTTGTGAGTCCGCGCGGGTGGGTACCACCACCCTGCCTATTTCTGCCGTGAAGCAGTAATGCATTTCGGTTTGAAGGGTGGGGCAGCCGATGTAACTTACTTGAGACCTTAGAACTTATATCTCAAGGTGGGTGGCGCATTAACGTTGTGGATGTCTATGGGCTCCAGTAACCACTTAACACCAGGTGGGCTGTGAGCTCGTCCACCCATGTAAGCAATAAAAAAAAAAAATACGCGTTTACTTATTTGCACATACTTACATTATATTTTAATGTAATCTCAATTTCGAGCTTAATTCGTTTTACGATATAATATTCTAAGTATTAAATGAATTCCACTACATTACATTTTGAAGAATTGATAAGCATTTTTTTAATTGCTCTAAACTAATAAAAAATATAGATACAATAGATTTCTTAGATTTAATACTCATATTTATCATTATTTACCTTGACTTTGTATTTTATATAACGTTAGGACAGCCTTGTAACTAAATACATAATCCATAAAGATCATGTTATGAGAAAAATATCCCCACACGAATTCATATTATGTTGCAGTGAAATTATTTAATTACAAACAAGACAATTTAGCCCAAATTCTCTTGTGTCTTATATAAAAATATGTAAATTTTAAGTAACGAAGGACTAAATCCGTCGCATTAAGTATATGAATTCCGTTCGTGAATAACGGTACATTAACCGGTCAGTTCCAAGCCGATGCCTTGATCTCATCAATCATACTTACGAACTAAGAAAACTATGGCATACCTAATGATATTTGGATGCGGCATTTTGCGTTATAAACCTTATGATGACTTCTTTAATGTATGTACGCATTGATTCTTCTTGATTTTAGATTAAAAAATGCCATATCGGTTTTTCTTCATTTGAATAATTTTTTTATTTATTTAATTATTTTCGTCAAATTTTGAATTGTACTTAAAGTATTTCTTAAATATTTCGTAGTTCGATTTTGATAATGTAATAAGAAATAGAATGCAAAGATTTTACAATTTCATCACCGTCGGTGCACTAAATCCTCTCTCTCTCTCTCTCTCTCTCTCTCTCTCTCTCTCTCGATTGACTAACGAAATTAAACAAATCTATTTAAAGGTAGAATTACTAAGAGTTAATCGCGTGAAATGAAATTACACAAGTAACTTGCACAAGTTTATAGCTTCGTTCAAAGGGGAGCTACGAAAGGCTAAAATTAAAACCGAACTTCTAATCCCAAGATGTTTACACAACCTAAACTGCATTTCATCACGTATTATAACGCTGCTCGTTCAATAAGAAGTATGTTTTGCTCCTAATTATTTTACGCAAAGAGAGCAATAATTAATCCCATTGAAATCAAATTCATAATATAGATTTGATGGTAAATTAATAAGTTAGCCAACATATTTCTGCAGTTGGCCAACTTATGAAATAAAATGAAATGACAAAAAAACAGAATCGATAATTAGAAATATGGAATTTTGAAAGCCTTAACACAATGAATATCATGCATATAGTGCCACTATAACAGCCACAATCACTCTAACAAGAGCTTCAGACTAAGAAGCAGAAATTGTTGATTTTATAGTAGACAAAGAGTCTTTACAGAGAGATTAAATAACGAAGTCAAAGTTCACATCTGCAATTCAAAGTCTTAGATAACTTTGTGGGAGAGAGAAGAGCATCCCCAAAAATAGCTTAGAGCTAATGACAAACACTATAGAGAAGTTTATTTCTGAGTGAGATAGTAAAAGTGTAGTTCTTTTGGGTAGTGTGGGTAAACTGCTCTCACTGCCGCACACAACAAATTATATCATTATAATGGTTTTTTTTATTTTTATTTAATTTATCGATAAGACTTTTATGACTTTTTTTTCCTACCTATTCGCTGGTAGCCTAAGATGGTATTCCAGCTACGCCCGGATGGTACGTGAGCTCATGAGCTCAACGTGAGAGAATTTGCTAATACTGGCCCTAGCAAGAGCAGTGCTTTGCAGAATCAACTCAACAAACACCGGATCGGAATCGTGACCCAATAAAAAGATCCAGCGAGAAACTCAGTGAGCTTTCATGATTAGAGTATAGACTGATAATAATTTATCCTATTCATCAGCTACCTTTAGACCCTTAGCCCATCAATAATAAAGTTTAATTTAATAGAATTTCAGAAAAATTTACTATAAACGCATTTAAAAAAATTACACAAAATTACTAATAATCAAGCTCTCACGACTTTTCAACTCATTTATACACAAAAATATGGCTCATACTTTGCATTCTTGTTGTTTGGTTAAACAACATGAAACCCACAACAGACGTGTCAAGGCGACATGCTCTATACACAATTTGAATACTAAGTATCACTACATAGCAAAATTGCCTCTTGGGTAATGTACAATGAATCATGCATATAAGTACCAAAATCACGTAACTAGTATGAGTGCCATGGCTTATTTTCAATTTATAAATTGAATTTTAGTAATTTAAATAAAATTTAATGTTAAGATATTTTAATATCAAAACTCAGTAAAAAATTTCATCCAACGTTTTGATATTTAATCATCTTTCTGACATTTTGTGTTGCATATTATGCAAATGTGAATGCATAATGAATACTTGTGTTTGAGGAATACATATTACATTTCAAGAGTGGGTAATAAATTAATAATGGTGTAGAATATTCAATGTAGAATATTCCCAAAGGAGAAACGAAAAAGACTTAGACTGTATTGTCATTTATCATCATTTTAGTCAATTAAATTTTCATGAACCTACAAAAAATTAAAAGATACCCTTCATCTTAGGCAATGGTTCTAGTACAACTTGTGTATTTCGGTATACTCATATAACAATAAATGAGACACTTAAAAATTGAGATTGTAATTATACCAACATATCACCAAGAATCTACTTAACAATGCAGACTTAATAATATATTAACTCCTCACCCACCTGCACATTATGCCAAAATAGGCATTGGTATGTGCATAGTAGATGATAGTTGATATTTTGTTTGAGTTCTATTCTTGGGATTCTTGTTTTGTCATATGACAGTTGTAGTATAAATAAAACCCATACATACTGCACTTACTCAAGTATCAAGTAGCAGTAATACTGGACTTTGTTTACTTTATTTTAACTTTGATTATTGGAATAAGTATAAATTGGCCATTTGAATTGGCTATTTGAAATGTTTCTTGGGGCTTGAATTGTAGCCTATTCGAAAGCAAATAAAACTTCATCCTATCTCAATATCCGCAACATAAACTCGATATTATTTTAACTCAAAAGAAGAATCATTAATTAAATCAAATTTTACTGCTTACGGAACACCGTTACAAACAATGGGCATCATAAAATTTATGACTATCTATGTATTACAAAAAAAACAGTGTTATTATCGAGATAGTTTAAATGTTTTAGTTATGAAGTTTTTCTTATTATGTTAATCCATATTCAGGTATCAATTTAAAGTTTAACAACTACCACATTTCTCAGAACACTACACTGCGACTACACAAAAATAATAAATGAAAATATTAGTTGTTGCTTTTTATGTAGTGTTCGAAAGTGGTACGTGGAAATTAATAAAAATTACAAAATATACAAAACGATTTCACCCATTTTGTGAACCTTTGTTAATTAAATAACAAGTTTTTATATTTATAACATTTTAGGAGCTGTAGAAACTTTGGGTAATTTAAAGTTAGACTTTAACTAGCAATGGTGGATATTTTTAACTGTTTTAGGCTTCATCTCATGTTGTATTCATTTGTACTCAAGGTTGACCACACGCGGTTTCACACAAAAACAATACGTACAAACAAGTTTCTGATGAAGCGGCAGATGTGTTAGTAAGTGTTTTATTGATTTTACATAGAAACATAACAAATTACCTGCGCGAATTGCTCCCGGATCTCTATTAATTCTTCGTCGGTCAATTTTGAATTGTCTGCCATTGTCAGTTTTGCAAAATTCACAAAAACAAATCACATGCACATACGCCGCTTTTGCTAGTCTCTATCTCACTATCGCTTCTTTCACTGTTCACTTACACATTAAATATAAACGTAGAAATTAGTAGCACTTTTTATTTAGATTTCATTTAGTAATTTTCCGCCTTCAAGACAAGTCTTATTCGACCGTCCCTTCTACGTGTTCGTCAAATATGAAATAACTTAGGTCGACCTCAGCTACGTACGACAAATTGCAGAATGTGGCGCTAGGCTCGTCGAATAAACATCGAAACAATTATCAACTATCGATATTTTAACTCGATTTATCGAAATATTTGATCACTATTTAATATCTCGGACGGTAATTTTATCGAACATGTTCCCCGACTGTATTACCAGTTCGTAGAACGACCTGTCGCGTCAGGGAAGAAGATGGCACAAAATCGCGTGGGAGTTTTTAAACGAATACAGTAGGATGACCTCGAGCATAGAGAGAACGCGGTATATCGCGAGGCGTATCAAATCCACCCTATCTATCTCCAGTACCGCGGGATGCAACCACTCTGTTAGAAGTGTAAATATACATACTTGTAGAATTAAGCATATCATTCTCCGGCTCCCATAATGCAGAAAATTCTAGTTTTAGGCCACTTTTCCATGTATGCTTTGTTGCCGAGTATTCTTTTTGTAGATTTGGTAATTTGTTATCAAATGTTGTATTGTTTTACTTTCATATTAGATCATACTAGATCAAGATATTGTTGCTAACTGTGTAAGAAACAGGTTAAGCGTTTATGTCGGTATTATTACTTAGTAAGAAGAGACAATTGACCTGGATTAGACTTATTAGAGCACGAAAACTGTTTGAAATTACATAGATAAATCGTAGTTTTATAAAAAAACCTCGATAACGACATCGAAATCGATATTTGCTAAAAATATCGGTTTGATATTTCAAGACCTTTTGGCATTTCTGACATCCCTNAGAAACAGGTTAAGCGTTTATGTCGGTATTATTACTTAGTAAGAAGAGACAATTGACCTGGATTAGACTTATTAGAGCACGAAAACTGTTTGAAATTACATAGATAAATCGTAGTTTTATAAAAAAACCTCGATAACGACATCGAAATCGATATTTGCTAAAAATATCGGTTTGATATTTCAAGACCTTTTGGCATTTCTGACATCCCTATGCGGAGCGTCGATGAAGAACAAGCGGTGGGGATCGAAGTGATCGAACTTCTTTCTACCTTGATACCACCTTGATACCTATCTACATTTAGACAATTTTTGATTTGCCGATGAAATACGTACTCAACAAATGTTCACGATTGACTTCCACGGTGAAGGAATAACATAGTGTAATAAAAATCAAATCCGCAAAATTATAATTTGCGTAATTACTGGTGGTAGGACCTCTTGTAAGTCCGCGCGGGTAGGTACCACCACCCTGCCTATTTCGGCCGTGAAGCAATGCGTTTCGGTTTGAAGGGTGGGGCAGTCGTTGTAAGTATACTGAGCCCTTAAAACTTATATCTCAAGGTGGGTGGCGCATTTACGTTGTAGATGTCTATGGGCTCCAGTAACCACTTAACACCAGGTTGGCTGTGAGTTCGTCCACGCATCTAAGCATTAAAAAAATTAAATAAAAAAAGACACTCGCTTTAAATACTAAATAATATTATATTATACTCGCTGACTGCCGAAAACAGACGAATGACCACAATCATATACACTTTTTAATTGAGCATAATTAATAATAATATGTGTTTATATTGAGAGATGAAAGGCTATTAGATTTAAGTGAAATTTTGCAACTTTACAGGATTCATTGAAAGCTTATTCCTAAAAATATTCATATTTTTTTAAAAATAATTATTTTACAATAATATAATGATAAGTTATCGTTCAAAGCGATTTCTCACAGACAACTGTTAGATAGTCAAGTATAAAGAAACCAATAATGTGGAATGTCTAGTAGCAGGAATAGTCTGGGTAGCAGGAATGAGTCACCGCCCTGGCTATCTCTGTTGTGAATCAGTCCCGCGATCCGATTTAAAGGGTTGGTACAACCCTAATATGTTATTCTTTTAATAAAGCCACTGGACGTAACTTCTCGGGATCCTCCAAAAAGTCCACTGAAAAAATCTCAGTACATGACCATCACTGTACTAAGATTATATTTCATCCCATATCATCTCATCGCATTTCATTTAATTTCATCCCAGTTGATTAATGTCTCAAATTAATCATTTTCATTTCATTTCATTTCAATCCATATTATCATTTTTCATAAAAATATGAATATAAATTAAAATAAGACATGACTTAAAGGTCTTAGTTACCAAGTCATAAAAGCTCTTAAAAAACATTATAATGATTAAGTGTATTATCTATGGCTCCGCGTGTTTTAGGTTGGACTTGGAAAAGTGACATCTACAAATAGGTAATACACTTAGTAAGTTTATAATGCTACTAGACAATAGATGGCAGTATAAAACACAAAACTTTAGAACATTCTCGTTCAATAACATATTATTTACGCCCTCTAGAGTTAACTAGAAACATCTCGTTCTACAGTAGTCTCTACGACGCGGGTCGCATTTGAATGACACCAAACTGATTTAAAATTTTAACGTTTACTGAAAATATACTCTGGGAGTTAATTCAGAATTTAACATGAAATGTATCCGTCTCTATTAACTATTTTAATAGTTGCACTTTTAAGCAACTTAGTTAAGTGACCATACTTTATCATGCGTTTTTGATATGAAATCGCAGGTTTTTGACTGGATTACTCATTATGTTTTTTTTATACATAACAGTAGATAAGAAACCTAGTCACCTGGAGACAAGCAGTTCTAGTTGCGTGTTAATATGAGCAATGAAATAGGCATAGCCTATTCTATGCTGCTTTCATCGGTGTCCATATTAGTTTTTTACAAATTATTTTTAGTTAATTGTCCATTAAATTCACACTACTGTATGTGACTCCATTAATTCTTGTTGACTCTGTACAGAAGAGAGCCTGTACCACTGCGTTCATCCGAAATGAGACTTAAGAATTTCATATTGCTTTTTGGACAAAAGAACTCCCGCGTCGGTGTATTCTTATTACTAAGACATGTATTTTTTAAATTAGGAGTTGAAACGGTTATTTAACTTGATCGTACACAACTGATTTTGAGATGTTTTGACCAATTTTTATTAGGAGGGTCATATGATTGTTAGTTACCAGAAGTAATAACGACGAAACAACGAAAATATAAATTTTCAGTTCAAAATTTCCAGTACTTCGTGAACTGCCNCGTCGGTGTATTCTTATTACTAAGACATGTATTTTTTAAATTAGGAGTTGAAACGGTTATTTAACTTGATCGTACACAACTGATTTTGAGATGTTTTGACCAATTTTTATTAGGAGGGTCATATGATTGTTAGTTACCAGAAGTAATAACGACGAAACAACGAAAATATAAATTTTCAGTTCAAAATTTCCAGTACTTCGTGAACTGCCTGCGGCCCATTTTGTCTATAATGGTTCCCGGAGTATAGATATAACGACGTGCATACCTTTGAGACGTGATGTCGAAATCACAATATTACTTACATTGATCTAGCGGAATGAAAGCAAAAAATAAATATTTTTAAATTATTAAGATTTCTTAATAAATAAGTTAAATTAATTGTTCCAATGAATTCAAAATGATTTCAAGAAAATTAGAAACTAAGCGACCCACAATTTGATATCCCTGCGCACGAGAAGCTTCCACAATATGCTAGTAGATTGCGCCACTGCATAAAAGCGAACGTAGCGGCGAAATGTCAAGCATTTGAATTCAAGCGATCGTGACTGAAACAAGTGAGAAAAGTCTTCAAAACTTAGTGAGCATCTTTACAAATCTACAACAACAAAATGTCGTTGATTCCGTGGCTATTTGATTACGAAATTGAGCGTCCTCGTCGCCTCATGGATCAACATTTCGGCTTGGGGCTGACTCCGGAAGATTTTCTCAGCGCTGCAGCCGGCCCCCTTGTGAGCAGAGAATACTACCGCCCGTGGCGTCACCTTGCTGCCGCGGCTCGAGACCTTGGCTCCAGCATCAAAAGTGACAAGGATAAGTTCCAAGTAAACCTGGACGTCCAGCATTTCGCCCCGGAAGAAATCTCTGTTAAAACGGCGGACGGCTACATCGTGGTTGAAGGCAAACACGAGGAGAAGAAAGATCAGCATGGTTACATATCGCGTCAATTCACTCGTCGCTACGCTTTGCCGGAGGGCTGTACGGCTGAATCTGTGGAGTCCCGGCTGTCTTCAGATGGTGTGTTGTCTGTAATCGCACCCAGGAAGGTGCCGCCAGCCGTGGAGGGTGAACGCAAGATTCCGATCGCCCAAACCGGACCCGTGCGCAAGGAGGTGAAGGACCAATCCAACGGCGACAAGGCTTAAGTCGTCAGCAGTGTCAGCACAAGTGTTCTATTTTAATTACCTACATAGCCATTCCGTGATCTTTGTTTTAAAGACTGATTGCTTTTAAGTTACAATAAATGTTCGCTTAGTACATACTAATTGTTTTACTTCCAACTTATTTATTTGTGTATTATTTTGATGGGTAGGCCTTTCATCCTTTCAAATATGCACGTGGTCAGCCTGTAGCGTCTGTTTGGTGGATTTAGGCAAACCACAACGCTATACCTACGCTTTGTTAACCGTTTCTATTTCGACATTTGTACAGAAGATCCTACAGGCAATCCATGTAGTTTAAAAAACGACGAATTTAGGTATTATATTAGTAATAATTTATTATTATTATACATATGTATTGCACGATTTGCAAAAAATATGCAAAAATTCGGGGTGTACCCTCGGAGCACCACACCAGAGGAGACTAGGCAATCTCATAAGCATTTTTAAGTTGACATTTTTACCCTTTTAAGCCGATTAGCACACAGTACACCTGATGGTGAATAGCTTACATTTGCTCATGGACGTCAGCAATGCTAGAAGCATATCGTCTCTGCCCGCCTGATGTTAAGTACTCCGCAAATCTCGTTTGCAAAAATCATGCCACAGCGCTCAGGAAACATCGTGGAGTGGAGCTCATTGTAAAGCCGGATGGTAGGTACGTGGCAAAAATTATCTCTCAAAAACGTACTGTGAATAATGTTTACTTGTACCCTACACCTTAAAATAATGATGGGTGGTTATTATTATAAAACTACTACATATTATACTTTTAAATTTTTTTATACATACATAGCTGCATAGTGTTTCTCCCTACTTTTCTCCCTACCTTATTGTGGGTAGCCTACGAGAATATTCCAACTACGCGTGGACAGGTAGATCTAAAAGTATGTTATCTTCAAAAAAGATTTAAGAGAATTATTTATTTTGCTTCTAGGCTAACCTTCAGCCATACCTTCTGGTATAATTATATTTATTTATATTACTTAATTTATATTAGACATGGGGGAGCACAGTGCATCGCGTGGTCAACATTTCAAATTAGACATGACCTTCAGCAATGAAGAGACAGACTCAGAAGAAGAAGATTTATATTACTTATATTTACGTTTTATTGAATACTTATAAATTATAACACTATTAACACGTCTGTAACGATGAGGCGAGTCACAGACGCCCATTGGTAATCCGTTTTTCACTAGTGGTAAGCCAAATGCCAACTGCCACATTGCAAAATTCTGAAAATGTAGTTAGTGAACTCCGTAAGATTATCGGTCCTCGTCGAACCCGTCGCTTGCGACGAAGGGCTCGATGAGTAAATTAACTCTCAGACACAGCCCACTGAGTTTCTCGCCGGATCGCGTTTCCGATCCGGTGGTAGATTCTGCGAAGCACGACTCTTGCTAGGGTTCGTGTTAGCATCGTCGTCAGGTTTGAGCCCCGTGAGCTCACCTACTAATTAAGGTTCCGCTGGAATAGCCGCTCCAGGCTACCAGCTTAGGTAGGAAAAAAAAAAGGTTTTGATTCGCAAAAGTTCTAAAATACATTCCTTAAATTCATTTTTAAGTAACGTTACTTTAAACATTAAAGTAAATTTATGTTTTAAGATATGTACAAAGTTTTTTATTTAATTTTAACTAGTCCGGTTTAACCTATTAAACATTGAAATCAATGTGAATCCAGAAACATCGTGTTCTTGGAACTACTCGCTTGTGACATATGGCACATTGATGGCATCCAGTGGTAGATTCTGCGAAGCACTGCTCTTGCTAAGGCCAGCGTAAGCACATTCTCTCAAGAGCCCGTGAACTCAACCACCAGTCACAGCGTAGCTGAAATAGCCAGGCTACCAGCGAATAAATAGGAAAAAAATGAAAACTCACACGACAATCATACATTATTTTTTATTTATGTACAACTTTATGTTTTATGTGTATTTATTTGTTTGTTTATAGTTTTATTAATTTTTCTCTTGTATTTACTTTCAACGCCATCAAGTAAGGATTTTCTCCTGTGTTATGTGTACCGAAAACACAAACTAGATTAGAACAAGTGCATCCATACCCCCGAGAACACATACAAAAAGACAGACATATTACTGGGGGTAGGACCTCTTGTGAGTCCGCATGGGTAGGTACCACCACCCTGCCTATTTCTGCCGTGAAGCAGTTTCGGTTTGAAGGGTGGGGCAGCCGTTGTAACTTACTTGAGGCCTTAGAACTTATATCTCAAGGTGGGTGGCGCATTTACGTCGCTGATGTCTATGTGCTTCAGTAACCACTCAACACCAGGTGGGCTGTGAGCTCGTCCACCCATCTAAGCAATAAAAAAAAATAAAAAAAAGATACTGATCGACTCTGACCAAGAGTCTAACTCGGATCACGTAGTACAGTTGTTTAAGTAACTACTAACCACTCGACGATGCGATCATCATACAAGTTTATTTATTTAAAAAAAAAAACAATAAGTTAATTTACAAAAATGTGCAGTCTCTTTGAACGGTTATGAATGAATGAATGAATGAATGATTTATTATATTTCAGACAACAACAAGTCCATATGTGTACATAGTATCATTGAAACATACTTAAAATTAACAAAACCAATCAAATAAAAAAGATACATTTATTAAAAATAATTATCAGTTGAATACATTTCAAATATTCCATTCAACTGACACTTACTTCGAACCAACCATTATTATTATTATTTAGTCCGCAAGTGAATCACAGTAATTTTTAATTAATTTTATCCATCACAGTATTTTTGTCACTTGCTCGAAGTTTCTTCTGTTATCTCCTTCCGAACCGGTCCAGTGTGTGTTATGGGAACGTCTCTCTCGTTCTTTGAAGCCTCAGCTTGTCTCGGAGCCACCACTGTGAGGACTCCATCGGAAGAGAGCCTCGATGCGACCGCGTCGGGATTGCTGTCATCAGGCAGCTTGAACCTCCTCACGAACTGCCGCGAAATGTAACCGTGCTCATCCTGCTTCTCCTCGTGTTTACCCTCGATGACGATGTACCCATCGGCGATTTTGACCGTGACCTCGTCGGGAGCGAAGTGCTGCACGTCCACGTTGATCTGCCACTTGTCCTTGTCAGCTTTGATTGAGGAACCGGCGTCTTTCGGCCACCACGGTCTGATGCGCGGCACCACGGGGCTGGTAGCTGCGTTCAAAAGGTCTTCCGGGGTGATCGTGAGCCCGAAATTTTGGTCGAGAAGTCTTCTCGGCCATCGAGGCGCGTCGTAGTCAAAGATGTAAGGTAGCAGAGACATTTTTATCTAATCACGTTTGCCTATCGTCTGTTTTATTGCGAGACTGGCCCGCTTATATATAACACGTCGGATGCGTCATTTGCGTACGTTTTTAGATCGGTTAGCGAGAACGAACGTTCTAGATGCATTCGGCTTTCGGAGTGGACTTTGTGGTGTTTATATCACAGTTTTGTGAAGTGTATCGGCGCTCGTATATTTAACGGCGCATTTGAATAGTATTATTATTTTTTTTATCGTTAGCAGACATATTGTGTATCCATCGCCATTTGGCCATTACACACACAAATATCTCGCTAATTATTAAATAAAAAAGTCTTAGAAAGGTTGTTTGGTGTCAGTCCAGAATAGCACCGACTAATATCTTTCAATGTGCATTGTAATAACAAAGAGATTAGGCGGATAATAGGTTGCAGTATTCTCCAACTGTTTAATTGTAATTTGCATAGTGAGTATGAAAATTTGCATATTAATTATGCAAATTAAATCACGTCTCGTGAGTCCGCACGGTTAGGGGTACCACCATTCAGTCTAAATAGGAGAAATCTACCGTGAAATAGTAATACGTTTCGGTTTGAACTGTGGGGCAGCCGTTGTGTACTATAAAAACTGAGACTTTAGAACTCATGTTTCTAGTTGGGTGACGGAATTTACGTTGTAGATGTCTACGGGCTCCGGTAACTATTTAAAACCAGGTAGGCTCATCCACCCATCAAGGGTTGAGCTTATTGTGAGCTCATGCGAGTACCATCGCTTCGCCCCCCCCCCTCTAAGCAGTCTTGCGTTCCTTTTTTTTCTACTTATTTGCTGGAGCTTAAGGGGCTATTCCAGCTTCTCATGGACGGGTCCAATTTAAAAGGGGGATAGTCATTATGCAACACCATTTTGCGGTGTGCGATTAACCAATATAGACGTTAAACAAAAAAAAACCAATAGTGTTAAATATAATGGCTAAAGTGGGTTGCAGTATTTGACGTTGATAAAACTATAGACTCTTTTAGTCGTTGAAAAACAGGTGGACCATGACATCGTCTCTCCGTCTGGATCAATAAACAATACATTTTTCTTTTTAAAGGTACTATGTCTTCAAAAATATAAAATGAATGAATGAATGAATGATTGAATGATATATTATTTCAAATAACTGCAAGTACTTAGCATCATTGAAACACTTAAAATGACTAAAACAAATTAAATAAAAAATACATTATTAACAGATGAATACTCCATTCAATTGATACTTACTTCGAGTCAACCATTATGTGGCGGGTAGCCATCATACAACGCAAGATAATTGACAGATGCCTGAATCTCGCTTACGACATTTTCAAGATAAAGCGCATATATACAAGTTCCGAAAAAGAACATTCGGACCGTCGGTCTACCGAGCAAATATCACCCGCTCGGTGGAAGATCTTCCCTTTGTCGTATATTCCTACAACTGGTGACCTACGACGGAACAATCGCAACCTTCTGATTCATCATCAGCGCATCAAAAACTTCGGTTACCACAATCCCCGCATTCTCGCAGATAAAAGCAAGTCATCGACAGTCGTCCCACAGCAAGCCAGCATCGCAGCCTCAACAGGACCATCGCAGCCGACTCACCGCGCTTCCTGGCCCTACGGCACGCACCTACACTGCCTCATCACGCAGCATTCAAGCTCAGTCTCGACTCACCGCAGACTTCGAGCAGCACTGGCGACAATCACGCAGCATTCAAGCTCAGTTTCGACTCACCGAAAACTTCGAGCAGCACTGGCACTTGCAAGCTAATCTCAGCACGGACGATAACTAAATATGACACGACCTCCAGTCTCGGAGGGGAGTGATGTGGCGGGTAGCCATCATACAACGCAAGATAATTGACAGATGCCTGAATCTCGCTTACGACATTTTCAAGATAAAGCGCATATATACAAGTTCCGAAAAAGAACATTCGGACCGTCGGTCTACCGAGCAAATATCACCCGCTCGGTGGAAGATCTTCCCTTTGTCGTATATTCCTACAATTATTATTGTTATTTTTATTTAGTCCGCAAGTGAATCATGGTACAATGGTTCAAGTACCGACAGTCATAACGGTCTGCTAATGCCTTAAGGATGTTGAAAATGAAGTTTTCTATATCTATACTAATATTATAAAGAGGAAAGATTTGTTTGTTTGTTTGTTTCGAATAGGCTCCGAAACTACTGGACCGATTTGAAAAATTCTTTTTCCACTAGAAGCCGACATTGTCCCTGATGAACATAGGCTACTGTTTTTTTTTTTTTTTTTGATTTCAAGTGTGTTTTAATGTTTCCGAAGCGAAGCGAGGGCGGGTCGCTAGTTATCAATAAAGTAATTGTCAATTCAATATGCATTATTAAAGAAAAAAATCTACTGGTTCGATCTTGATAAATTTAAATGGGACCACATGAGAACTAGCTAGCAAGCTTCAAATAAAATAAAGAATCGTCAAAATCGGTTCAAGTCCTGAGGTGATGTACATAGGAAAAAAATCAATAGATTGATAATTTTTTTCGCTTTCTATTTGCTGGTCGCCTAAAGAGATTAAGCCCAAACGGGTAGGTTTACAGGCTCAATCTGAAAGAATTTTAAGTCGTTGTGGCCTAAAGAATAAGACGTCCGGTGCATTCGTATGTAGCGATGCACCGGTGTTCGAATCCCGCAGGCGGGTACCAATTTTTCTAATGAAATACGTACCCGACAAATGTTCACGATTGACTTCCACGGTGAAGGAATAACATCGTGTAATAAAAATCAAACCCGCAAAATTATAATGCGTAATCACTGGTGGTAGGACCTCTTGGGAGTCCGCACGGGTAGGTACCACCACCCCGCCTATTTCCGCCGTGAAGCAGTAATGCGTTTCGGTTCGAAGGGTGGGGTAGCCGTTGTAACTATACTGAGATTTTAGAACTTATATCTCGAGGTGGGTGGCGCATTTACGTTGTTAGATGTCTATGGACTCCAGTAACCACTTAACACCAGGTGGGCTGTGAGCTCGTCCATCCATCTAAGCAATAAAAAAAAAAAAATTATTTTCGACAAGTATTTCTATCTATTTAGAGTGTAGTCATCGATTATTTGGCAACCCAAACTCAAAACTATAATTGTAGAGTATTATATTTGTGTCTCTGTACACCCACTCATAAACGATGCGTGACTATTTTTATAAGTAATGTTATTAATAATTTTTTTATTTTTAGTTTTTTATTTCATTTAGGAATATGATTATTCGTAATCAAACACATACATAGTTGTTAAAATATAAACTATATTGTATAATAATATAATTAAAAAAAAACAAGTTTCGAAAAAGGAATCTTCAGTGTTGCATTATTTGTACATTACGTACGTACAGTACGATAATGTACATTATTTTGTTAAATTGGTAAAAAAATAAATTTTAGTTTCTGTTTAAAATTCAAATATTATTTAGTTTTATTAAAAAATTTCTATACGCAAAACTAAGATTCTTTCTTATTGTCTTTGTTATTTAAGTAATCCTCACAGGAATTCGTGCTTTTAATATTAATTTGTTCCTTATCATTCTTCTGCGGATCTGAATAACCTATTGGTATCAAAGTTTCACAGGGCGTAGTTGCTTCCCAATTTTTTCTAGGCGCTGTTATCGTGAGAATGCCTTCAGGAGACAGCTTAGATTCAATCTTCTTCGGACTGCAACCCGGAGGTAATCTGTATCAAAAAAAAGGCAACGAATCTCAGTTGTTTTGCTATTCTTGTGTTTTTTTTAGATTAACTGAAAATATTGTCATGTGTGATCTTTCTTGCGACGCTTGCTGGATAGATTGATGGACTGCGGTAGTGATGTAACAAATATCTACTCGCACGGTTATAACATTATACTAGCTGGTATTACTGTATGCACAACGTATTATGCCTACCCTATTATAGTTTCAAGATTAAAATAGGCGTTTGCACTTCGTTCGATCTCAAGTTTCATCGTCAATACGTCTTGGTACACAGAATTTGCCTTTGACTGTATAATTACGTCTATGCTTGGTTAGTTTTTTTTTAATTGTTAAGATGGGTGGACGAGCGCACAGTCTACCTGTTGTTAAGTGGTTACTGGAGCCCATAGACATCTACGACGTAAATGCGCCACCCACCTTGAGATACAATTTCTAAGGCCTCAAGTAGTTACAACGGCTGCCCCACCCTTTAAACCGAAACGCATTACTGCTTTACGGCAGAAATAGGCAGGGTGGTGGTACCTACCCGCGCAGACTCGCAAGAGGTCCTACCACCACATCCTAATTAAAATTTGCTGTATGGTTAACTACTGTAAAAACAGCGAGATTAAAAATAGAGATACAACAAAAAAACTGTTTGATCAATACGCCGAGTTTTCTGATGAGTTTTGGATCTATAAAATGCTCAACGGTTCGCGATTTCCATAGAGCAGGTACCTTTGAACTATTAGATAGTTTGGATCGAAAATCTCATTTAAAATGTTCGAAAATCTCATTTAAAATGTTTGCGAAGATATCGAGACATGGTCTTAGGTTTTCATTATACAGACAAACTCACAATTCACATGCACGGCAATCGACACCATATAGTGCATCACGCTGCCCATCATTTCAGATAACCTAAATGCGGTAATACAATTATTATTCTAATCGTGAAACAGGAAAGCAATCTGCCCCACTGTAGAAATACAGAAGTGCTTCTTTCTACAGAACATATTCTAATAGCATTTAGGCAGTAAAATAGGTATTGAATAATGGCACGATAGCAGCATATAGTAGATCATCGTGTCTGTGTAACTTTAGTTCAGTAAGTGGTAATTTTTTTTTTATATAGAATTTGTCTTCAACGCCTTTGGCATTGATTTTGCCAATGTAAAAGTATTTAAAAAAAATTACCGGTACTTAGAGAGGAAAAAATTACTAAATCTAAATACAAATAAATTTGGTCGGTTATTCCATACGCGAATCTGTGGTTTTAAGAGCAGCACAAACAAATATTATGTTAGACTAACTACTTTAGAGATAAATATTATTAGCAGATAAAAATGTACACAGAATATTTACATGTTTAGAATAGACTAAAGTTAATAAACAATTAATATTAAAAGGGCCGGGGAATGTCATTTGGAAGAATATCATAAAGAGGGGATACGACATTGGGGCAGTCGAAGGAAATGTGATCCAGGGTGCCCTCATCTAATCGGTGGTAATAAAATATTGGGATCTCTTGACTTAAAGCGAAAACGTGAGCAGTAATGGATAGTAAAATAATAGTTTGAGAACCTGAATTTTCTTGTAAACCTTCTCATGACGTAGCCAGTTTTCGTCTTTCTCTCTTGCTTCCCTTCAATCACCAGGCAGTCTGGTCTAGCCTTCACTCTTAATTCGTCTTTATTGAATTTATGAACATCGACACTCAGCTGGAACTTATCTTTTCCTATTTTAATATTCGACCTTAGATTTCGTGTTTGAGGAACTATTGCGCTTATAAATGGATGTAATTTGCAAACGTATTTTGTAAGTATCATTGTTTATATTGAATCTATGTGACTTGTCATTTTTTACGGCGTGTAGATAAGGTTGTAACTAATAAGATTTTAATCAACAGTATTTTCGCAAAAAGTACTCTCTATAGACAGCCGAGAACTAAACTTAATTTAATTCTACCAAGATTTAAATGGATAAGCTTTATCCATTTACTTAGTTGGCCGAAACATCAGGTCGAAGACCCACCCTTCAAACCGCAATGCATTACTCCTTCGAGGCTGAAACAAAATGTTATCAATATTGGTGCGAGCCCATAATAAGCCACCTGTGTTTTTATAAAAAAAATCGTTGTCACCATGAATCTTGGTTTTTGGCTGTAAGTCGTGGCAACACTGATTTTGAACTTGGTTTTTTAGCAGTGTAAACTTTCTTTTCAATAGACAGAAAAAAAAACAAATAAAAAATTAAGTACGAAATAGAAAATCGATAATCATCATAATCATCATCGTTGATGTTCTTAAGTGGGCGATATACATACGAACAAGTACACGGTTATCTTAAAAATCTTTCGCGAACTTCGCTTGGCACGTGTCGGTGACACACGTGAAGTTTTACTCACAATGTGTTGAGATGTCGATAGAAAAAACTTTTTTGTTATTTAGCAATTAGATCGAAGTGTGGATGGAGTGGAGAAACAACTTTGCCGTTCATGCACGAAAGTTTCTGTTGCCTCAAATGTAATATAATAATTATAGGTCTCAGTTAATTTGACAAAATGTAGTTGTTTATGATTAGAACGTTTCAAACTGAACAATACTGTTTACTATAGACATTTGTACTAGTGGTTAAGTGTGTGAACGGTAGACCTAAATAAATTTGATTCTGAAAAAGAAGAAGAATACCTATGCCTGTAGTAATATTATTTTGTGTGGGTAACTAACATTAATAGGTATGTAGATTTAATAAAAAGCCAGAATTGAAATAAAGGTGAATTTATTGATTAAATAAAATTACTTAAAACTTAAAATAAGATACAAACTGAATCAGTCTTATACAGACAATACTTTGGAACAAATTAAAATGCACCATTGCAAAACCACCCTACTTATTTTCGGCATCCTGGGTTCCCTCGCTCTGGTCCTTGATCTCCTTGCGAACGGGACCGGTCTGTGCGATGGGCACCTTTCTCTCTCCCTTGACGGCGTCGGGTACCTTCCTCGGCGCGGTGATGGTGAGAACCCCGTCTGATGACAGCCGCGATTCCACAGTCTCAGGCGCCGCGCCTTCAGGCAGCGCGTAACGTCGGACGAACTGCCTTGAAATATACCCGTGCTCGTCTTTCTTCTCTTCGTGCTTGCCTTCCACCACGATGTACCCGTCGGCAGTCTTCACCGAAATCTCTTCCGGCGAGAAGTGCTGCACGTCCAGATTGACTTGGAACTTGTCCTTGTCGGCCTTTATGCTGGAGCCGAGGTCACGAGATGCAGCCGCGAGTTGTCTCCACGGTCTGAAGTAGTCTTCGGAGAGCACTGGACAGGCGACGGCAGCCAGCATGTCGTTCGGGGTTAGCGCCAATCCGAAATCTTGATCAACAAGACGACTGGGCCAGTGGTTGTGACGAACGCGGGGCCAGTCACCCAACACGAATGGTAGAAGAGACATCTTCGGTTGTATTTGAATAGGAATGGTAAAACGCAGAGAAAAGTTCGCTTGAACGCTTCACAATTCGATAGCTTGACTCAAATTACTTGGTCGTTGGCAGGCGGCGCGCGTTTATATATGATTTGAGCAGTGACATCTAGTGTCGAGTAGAAAGTTCTCGAATGCTCGCGACATGACTAACGAAACAGCTGCGCGCGCAGTTCTGGCACGCACACATACAAGTAAAGTATACACACATCTTCACAGTGCTATGTAATGTTAACAAAAAACGTCATCTTTATCGAATTTTCTTGAAATGCCGCGAAGCTCGCCGAAAGAACAGCTGAGTGCTGAGCGTGATTCGTTGTTTGTAAACAAGTTGTTATTTATGTGGATAAAGAAAATTATTATACGAAAACATGATTGTAATTACTGTAATTTTACATAGGTTTTACATAGATGAGAAATATGTAATGTCATTAAAAAAAACCATTTGACGATGATGATAATAAATTTTCAATATTGATCTAGTTAGATTAGATAGGATAAATTGAGAGAACTAGCGATGTATTTCACTGAAAAAAATATTTCTCTTCTTAGCTCTTAATACAATTTGTAAGATAATTTTAGGAAATATCTAGAAACAAAGGTCGTTTGCGAAGCAGTTTCCAAGGCGATTTATTTTCTCCACATTTAGAATTGCCACTATTTCAGTCCAATCAATTCAATTGAGATTTCGACCTCACGATTCAAGGTTGAGCCGATATTGACATTGTAATATGTATCTACGCAATAAACAAATAAAATGCAGTAATCAACATTGCGACAAACAATGTTTGTTTTTCTTGTTGATAAAATCATTGGAAACAAACAATAATGTCTGCAATAATTGTGTAAGACAAAACGTGAAACTTCTGTTCACCTTACGAGAAGTTTCTAGACATAATGAACATTGTCCAGCATTTATCTTGCATGATGTCACTTTATGAACGTCTATTATCGGAGTTTTACGTATTCTGTTTTATTAGTTACGATGGACAGGCTCACAGCCGTCTGATATTAAGTGGTTAACTGGGCCTATGAGCGTAGCGTGAATTCCACAACCCGTCTTGAGTAATGAGTTTGTGTTCTCTGATTGCCCTACCATTTTAGCAGTGGGCAACGGGTTGACTGTGCTCCTGGCATCGCAGATGTTCATGAGCAACGTCACTTATCATCGGGTGGACTGTACGCTCGCCTGCCTAGGGGAGCGAAGGGACGGTGCCACACTAGACTGACACTACATAGCACGCTTTTTATTGTGTTTTTCTATTACTCAATAGTTCTAGTAACCACAATAAGTAGTACCAAATTTTCTGAGTTTAAATGTAGCTCACACGTGGTGGTAAGAACGACTTCCACGATGTTGCAAATACATTTATTAATATTTTTTTATTTATACTTTATTTCAGTTTTTTTTAGAGAAAAAAAACCATACCATTTTGTTAGTAAGAATTATTTATAATCTATGTTAGTAACTTAAAAATCTAACACATAACTATCAGACATACATTATATTATATTATATTACTGGTGGTAGGACCTCTTGTGAGTCCGCGCGGGTAGGTACCACTATCCTGCCTATTTCTGCCGTGAAGCAGTAATGCGTTTCGGTTTGAAGGGTGGGGCAGCCGTTGTAACTATACTTGAGACCTTAGAACTTATATCTCAAGATGGGTGGCGCATTTACGTTTTAGATGTCTATGGGCTCCAGTAACCACTTAACACCAGGTGGGCTGTGACCTCGTTCACCCACCTAAGCAAATATATATATGTACATATATAAACGGCCGTCTGGTGTAGTGGTAAGTGACATGATCACTACACAATACTGGTTCGAATCCCGCCAAGCGAAGATGTTTATATGATAAATATAAAATGTCCTTTCCAGGGTTATGGATGTATATTTAATAAATGTATGTGTATAATAAAAATCTTACATTTATTTCCGTTATCTGGTACCTGTAACAAAAGTTCTTTACGAATTTAGCACGGGACCAGTTAACGCGGCGTGATTGTTAGTAAATATTCATTTATTTATTTATTAAATAATGGGAACTCTGCCAACCGGCGGTGAGCTAACGCAGATTTTCTATTTATAAGTAGCTTTACCTAAATAATTATTATTATTTTTTATTTTCATTATTTTCCAATTTAATACAATACTACAGTAATTGTTCTTTTATATTTCAGGAAATATTTTTGATGTAGTAACGTCAGCAAAGTCGATGTTTAAAACAGCGAAGGGTCACCAAAAGACACTATGAATTAATAAAAAAGTGAAATAATTCACGACACGCCCACTGATATTATAGCTTAATTATTATTATTTATTATTATATATACCATTATAATCTTTTCTTTCCAAATGCCTGCTGCAAAGACTATTAATCAGCAGTCCCTCGATCTTGCTCGATATGATGTTCATTAAGAATAACGTGGGTATCCCAAAATGTATATTGTTAGAGCGCACAGGTATAAATAACCACCTGCCTATTTCATTCGGGAAGTATTCATGACCTGTGATTTAGACAAGATTTAGGCATTTATTGAGATTAAGAGTATTCAACCTATGATAATGGCGTTGAGAACATGATGTCTATGGTTTTTCGGCTATGATTATATTTCAAGTTCGATATTCAAATTACTATTTCGAATAATTTCTCCAGAGAGTATTAAATTTATTGTAACGGCAACCATTTTTTTTTTTAAATACATTAACTGCCAATTCAATATTGAGTCAAACGTCATACATATTATATGTTCGCTGTGGTTCGCTGTAGGTGAATTAAAATCAATTGAAACTGACCTCTCTCTCCTCTACGAGCCAGACGACCTTTGCAGGCGTCCTAGTTCATAAAAAATCAATACTGTCTGGTTACCTAGCAACAGCCTAGGGAGGATTGTTCTCGGTTGAGGAGAATTTAATACATATACCTACTTGTAATGTGCGCGAGTATAGTTGAGACATGAGGTCGAATACTCAGTTTTAATGGTAGAATTGAAAGGATTGCCTAAATTCATACTAAAAAGAACGTGGCGATTTAAAAATAAACATTCGTTTTAGAGAAAATAATGTTTTTATTGCATGTTCATTTTTACAGGCTTTATATTAGCTTCACTTGTATGTATGTTTGTAACTGACTCCTTTAGACGCGATTTTGACCCACTTTAAACGGCCAGATTTCATTCAAACTTGGTTGATTTATCGAGGACCGACGACAATACACTAATTTGATAAGATTATTCCATTATTCAATTTGCAAAATAAGATTTTTGCCAATTTATATAATTTTTATCTACAGTCGATAAGGCAGAAATTGATGTTACAGTACTTAATAGTTTTAAAAATACGTTTTTA